CCCCCCCCCCACCACCCCGTGAAGTAGCGCACTCTGAACGTTTTAAGGACTGTTTTGAGAGGATAAAGTGACAATTGTATTAGACACATCCATGAATTCGAAAGATAGGTGTCACAGGGAGGAATTTTCACAGACTGAGGAACCACTGCCCACCTCAGCCCCACCTAATTTATGATTAGGGCACCTCTAAATGGCCGGAAATTACACTTTCATACTTAAATTTGAATATATTTTCCTTTTTTTTTTTCCTCAAAAAAAAAAATTATCTAAAATAGTCATAATCACGAAAAAGGGGCATGAAAAACCAGATCACATTCTTCTCAGCAGTCACAAGACATACTCTGAGTCAGGTGCCGACTCGATGTAGTTTAATGTCATACCCAGAAGGGCGCAGATCTGTTTTTTAAGGTTGAGGGGGAGGACATTTTGTGAGTCGGCACCTACCTCAGACTCACCATGGTTGGAGCTGAGGAGCGAAAATGTGAGGAAATAGCACCTCTAGCTAGATGGCCAGAAACAACACTTTTAGTAAAATTCATTATCACATCACCGTTACCGGTAGTCCAACTGAAGCGCCAAAAAAAAAATCTCATGGTCTTTTTTATCAGGGATTTCCTGCAACCAAAAAGATCTTATTAATGTGTGAAAACAAAGCTTAAAAACATTGTCTTTGAGTGTGTTCTTTACATACTTCAAAACCGTGATTTCACAACCACCTCAGCCCCACCATAGTTGGGGCTGAGGTGAGAAAATTTGAGGAAGCAATACCTCTAGATGGCCGGAAATCACACTTTCACGTAGTAAAATTCATCATCATCACATCACCATTAAATAGTCAAAATGGAACGCCAACAAATTTCTCATGTACTTTAAATCAGGGATCTACTTGACATCCAGGACAACTTGACCTAACTATAATTTACTATATAAGCTTTAACTATAATATTATCATCAACAAATCCCAACTTTATTTTTTGCCTTTAGCACAATTTCCTTCACATTTTAATATTATTAATATTACTATCAATTATCATCATCACCATCATCATCATCATCATCATCATCATCATCATCATCATCATCATCATCATCATCATCATCATCATCATCATCATCATCATCATCATTATCATCATCACCACCATTATTATTATTATTATTATTATTATTATTATTATTATTATTGAATTGAATTGAATTACTATTATTATTATTACTATTATTATTATTATTATTATTATTATTATTATTATTATTATTATTATTATTATTATTATTATTATTATTGCTAATAGTATGGTATTATTGAACAATAGGGCCTACTTTAAAAAAGCTTGCAACAGGGTAAAAGCCAAACTGAACCATACAGTATCACATTTCTGTATCTTAAAAGACTTGGCCTGGGATTTATGGATTTTTAATAATCACGCTTAGACATGTGTTATAATTATTGTAGGCCAGGCCTATGTAAAACGAGTACTGATGCATTTTTACGTATTTAGAAGTATTCATTTTGAGTGGTCCCAGAAAATAATTTGCATTGGCTCAAAAAAAAGGTTTAAAAATTTTACACTGTGTACAAAGGGAGGGGGGGAGCCGCGGCTCCCACGGCTCCCCCCCCACCCTGGATACGTCCCTGTTACCAGGTGTTCCGTTTTAATACATCATTAGAATCCCGTTCTTGTTTTACTGCTACCCTGTACAATATCTTGGATTTAGAACTATTGTATTTAATATCTAAAAAAATAAATACTGTATGACCATATACAGAGTTGTTTTTTGGGGGGTTTTTTTTCCAGTCAACAAAAATATACTGATCTCTCATTCGCATGTAAAAACCTTGGATATTTTTATCCATTTTTTAAGACAATATCATGAGATTTTGTTTAGCAAGTCAATAAATCTAATAAATGCTATGAATTTGGTTGGCATGATTTGAGCTGAGAAGTGAATTCACATTTTCTCCTTATTCCATTTTCAAAATGAGGATAGTTCTCCCAGACAAATGAGAGCTCCATGGACAGTATCTTTCCAACTTTCCTCTACTTACATTTGGCAATTAATCTGCCGGGAATGACTAGTCCTACTTCTCATTTTCTTTATACTAAAATTTTCACTTTTAGCACATTCTCTTCTGATTTTGAAGAAACCCTGCAATGGTCATTGTGGCCAACAAGCGTACCACCCACCATCACCACGAATTTCATTTCCTGTTGTGTAAACACCAACAACATTCTTGTCATGAGCCATGCTCTCTGGACGATTATCTTTTATGCACCAGAACTATTCGTTTATCTTCGGTTTCCATGTATCCTTATAGGCGCTATATGTTTTGGTTTTTTTTTTCATTCAAAAGAGCCCCTTGAATTTTCCAAATTCCCATAAGCAACCCCTCAATTTTCATCTATTTTCATAAGCGCCCCCTCAATTTTCCTCTGTTTTCAGAAGCGCCCCGTTTGAATACGCGCCCCTCAACCATTGCAATAAAATATCTTCAGCGCCCAGGCGCTTATTCGTGCGAGTACGGTATAATTCACAATTTGTCCCGTCTTATGCAAAATACTTGTCTTTTATTGTTTCTTTCCGATTTACTCTTTGATGTTATATAAATCACTTTCTTTCATACAATTATGAATATGGATAAGCTAGAAAAGCTTATTAGCCGCAGCTTAGAAATAAATGAATAAATGAATATATTGCCCTGTCTCTTATACACATCTAGATGTGTATAAGAGACAGTATATATATATCCCTAAGCTGTCCTGTCCTATGTAATTCGCTTGTCTTTTATTATGTTTCTCTTCACTTCAATGTTATTGATCCTGTTACATGTTTTAACGTGAATTCTCAACGTCAACACAACTTTTATTCCTTTTTATTTATAATTATATTTTTGTGTATTTCCGTGGGAGTTCCTAACATAAATCGGAATATTTTTCAACAACCAAGTTTCATTGTATTCTCAGTTGTGCGATGTAGTCAGTTACCTATACTTGAAAACGGTAGAAAGGTAGGAAATGATGTAAATGTTGGCGCAATCGTGAAGTTTTTCTGTTCATCGGGATATGGGTTGGAAGGGCCTAACCAGCGAGAATGCTTAGAAGATGGTAGATGGAGCAGGGGTGACCCAGTTTGCATACGTAAAGGTAAGCCTTGTGTCGGGTTTTTTTTTATCGACTAATGTCCCATGCTTCCGAAATTGAATTGGATTTGTTTTTCTCTTTTGCATTCGATATGTAGACCTCCATTCTGTAAATCACGAAAATGTTTATTTTGGGGGGAGGGGGAGCGGGAGGGATAACCCCCTTGACCTGCCTTCTCTCTGCGTCCCTCCTTGAGCAGCGTGTTCATAGAAGCACCCATTTCTCTTTATTATCTATGCCGCTGTACTTGGGGTTATGATATGAAAACTTCACCGAGAATGAAGAAGAAAACAATTAGACCTAAGTAGACTTGTCTATTTGATTTTCTAGGTAATCCATCTCACTGTGTACCGCTTCCGATACCAATCAACGGACAAAAATCAGGGACAAGATATGATCTGTATGATGTAGTGATATTTACATGCGAATCTGGCTACACATTGATTGGCAGCAAATTAAGACGATGTCTAGAGACCGGTTGGTCGGGTGAACGCACAACCTGCGAAGGCGAGTATTTTCATAGACATTCTAAAATTGTAACACACAACGTGCAAAGATTCAAGCGATTCAATATAAATTTGTTGCTAAACAAATGAATGTCTTGAAATGCACAACTTCATATAGAATTAAAAAATACATTAAAACATGAATACTTAGTAAAACAGTAAAATCATCGATATGTCAAATTCTCACATAAAATATTTTAAAAATGTTAAAATGTATATATCTAAAAAATTATCACCACCAGCAGTACAGTACATCATTTACCATCCCTATAATCACCTTTATAAGTATTGTTATAACTTGTACATGGGTGTAGATCATGGGGGACCTACTTGTAAGGAGGTTGGTCCCCCATTTTTCGACCGCAATTTAATTTCATACCTCAAGAAGATGCCTGAAAATTGTTTTTGTTTTTAATAATAATAATAATAATTATTATTATTATTATTATTATTATTATTATTATTATTATTATTATTATTATTATTATTATTATTATTATTAGTAGTAGTAGTAGTAGTAGTAGTAGTAGTAGTAATATTAGTGGTATCATAATAGTGGTATAATAATAATTATTAGGCCTATTATTATTATTACTTTTATTTTATTATCGTTATCATCATTATCATCAATAATGACAAGTATTAATAATTAATTTGACGCATCTTCAATTATCATAATCATTGCGTTTATATGCGCTGTATAAGGCTGACATATTATTAAAGTTAATAATACTAAGTATTATTATTATTATCGTTATCTACAACATAGTTTAGCAAATTCATTTAGCAGCAGTAAGTGATTTCTTTTGTCGAGGAAATTTTACAGCCGCCGTTGATGTCCTTGCAAACATCCTCAAATTCCGGTACTTTGATGATTTTTTAAATTGAGAAAGAGTAATCTGGAACTGTTAATGTGTGAATTAGCACGCCTTAAATGTACTGATTCACGCGACTAATAATTATCGATTATCGATTTTAGGTAGTGATGAATATAGTGATATTGAAGAAGTCAAGGACTCTTTCATCCAAAACTTTGACGCACTCAAAACTGTGACGTATACGAATCCAGAGGTAGAAGCTAGAATTGAGCAGGAGAGAGAAGCTGCGTGCAACGAAAGTGCTGGAGAAAACTGTCAAACCGGGCGTCTAATTGATTTAAACTACGAAGGGAGGCTGGAAATCTATTTCGTCTTCGATGCTTCGCAGAGTGTCGGACAGGAAAATTTCGACATTTCAATTGATTTTGCAAAAGCTGTGGTTACAAAGGTTAATAGATAATAGTCAGCATCATCATTACCGTCGTCGATACCCTCATCATTATAATTGCCATTATCAGTATTGTCATCGTTATTGTTGTCATCCTAATCATCTAGGCCTAATCGTCTAACCATCGTCGGCGACACCATCATCATAATCAGCATCGCCATCCTCATCATTATCATTATCATGATCATTAATATTATCATTTTGATAGTATAATTGATAGACTCCGGCTTGAGTATCACTCAATGGTTGAATAGTGGCGACAGGGGAGGGACTAGTCAAAGTTTGCAATTTACTTGCAAAAGGCAACATAATTCAATTGATTAAGGTAGAGGAGTAAGGGAGGGCGTTCCAGTCTTTAGCTGGGGAAAATGAATATAGGAAGCGATTTGTCTTGGCCATCGGTACCTTTAATGAGAGGGGTGGGGGGTTATGATTTCTACTAAACCTGGCTGCTGTCGCTCGTCGTCACAATTCCTATCATTATAAATATATCACCATCCATGACTATCATAATAATCGTTCAATATCACCATTGTTATTCTCTATAATCAATACAGTTTTTTACACACGCTCTAGAACATATACTATCATGTTCATGTTTTAGAAAATTAATCAATTTTCATTAAATTTTATTAACAGCTTGGAGTAGGTACCAAGGAAAAGGGTCCGCGATACGGCTTTGTTGTTTATTCGAATGATGCCGAGGTTGTGCTTCACACGACTGAGCCGGTAGATACTGTAGAGGCTGTACACGAGCGGCTTAACACTATAGAGTATGAAGGTTAGAATATAAAGCTATTAAATTCTATGTTATGTTAAATTATAGCCTACGGGTTCTTGGGACCATTTTGGACTACGAAAAGAAATTTCTTCGCTTAAGATTGAGCACAGCTTTTGAAAGGGCCCCTGTTCTTCTCCTCCTGGGTTCAAAATTTTGATATTGTATATAATTTACTTTTAATTAAAAAGTGTTCAATTAACTTTATTTAAGGCCCGGTGTTAAATTCTTTCTTGAGTTCAATTCTGCTGTATCATTTGCAGGGCGAGGAACGAATACATTTGCTGGACTGAACGCCCTCTATGTTCAGGTCATTCCGTTGTCTGTCAACAATCTGCCTCCGACAGACGCAACGCCGCAACGAGCGGTGTTTTTACTGACCGATGGTAAGAATACAACAAACGTACTTTTTGCTGGAGTGTTTGATAAGGGTGTTAAAAGGTGTTTGAGGTTGTGTGTTTCAGAATTTTGTCGTGTTTTTAAAATTTTTTTCTGAGATTTTATGGTTGCATCTGTTTTTACTTTACAACAGAAATAAATATCGTATTTTGTTACGCTACATTTACACTTTATGATTACCGTTACGCAATTACTCTGTATTAACACTACCTATCAAAAGAAAATGTGAAGATATTTTTGATATTCTTATTCTATGCTATGATTGCTTTTCTGTGATCGTATAGTATCGAAAGTGTATATTAGCAAAAGTGTGAATAAAGTTCGTCATATCATATTTGCATCTAAATCTGAATAGGTACCCACTGTGGTATGCGTCAGTGTGTGTCATCGATTTTCAAGTTATTAGGTGTTATTCATTTTATTTTTTATCTATGATTTTATTTATTTAATTATATATATATATATATAATACCACAGGACTGGCACGAAATTCAGAAAATGGTCGACTTGGACGACAAAATAAATATTTTTTAATTAACATTACTCTTTGCTTACGAACACTGTTTCCCTACTGTCTCTTATACACATCTAGATGTGTATAAGAGACAGATCAAATACCGGTGGTGCGCCTTTTGACATAGCAAACAAACTGAGGGCAGAATTTAGCGCCAAGATTCACTGTATTGGAATTAGCGAAAGTGTAAATAAAGACGAACTTGTTGAGCTTGCTTCTACTCCGACTAGAGAATATTATTTCCATCTGAAAGATTACGTTTCTCTTGAGGAATTAGCGTACGCAATTTCCAACGAAGAATATGGTAAATACGCAGTTTTAATGTTAGACATAATGTATTACAGCTTAAATGGCAACAAGGCCTGTAAACACTTCACAATATTACCTCTACAATATCTGCTCCCTGAGGAGAATTCCATGATATTGCAGCTGTATCTGCGCATTTTTTTGTTTAAACCAGGAACTCGCTAGTACTCCTGTGTGGAGAAAGACAACCGTAAGTGAAGTGCCTTGCCTATGGACACAAGTGAAATGTACAGCGAGGGATTGAACATCTGAACTCAAGGTTGAGAAGCAGAACCACAACCGACGCGCCAACCCATTCCTAGATTTCTATCACTTGTTTACCTCAAAAAATTTACATAAATATTCTATTCATGTAAAGTTAACCATGCCTTAGAGTCGAGTATTTATTCTAATGATGTTGACATTTTAGATTATTCTCCGTGTGGAATTGGTGGAAGCAACGCACAACGATCGGGTAGAATAATTGGCGGTACTGACGCCAACCCCGGGGCTTGGCCGTGGCAGGTTGCTTTCTATGACAATGAACAAGTAAGTGCAGCAATTTTCTGTCACATGGGGTAGGGTTAAACAAATGTGTGGCAATTTGTCCTTTGCTGGAAGAACTCAAGTAAGGTAAGCGCGTGTGCATTTTTCCATCCGTACGTCTTGAACTTGAAGTAGAAGGAAAGTGTGGCATGTTGTGCTCTTTCCAATTGCGAAATAGTTTAAGATATCATTAACTTATTATATTTGTTAACACTTCGGAGCTTTAAGAGAACGTACCGCATCTTCTATAGCCCCTACCAAACCTTGGAAAAAGTCCCCGATTAGCACTAGTCTTCGCCCCTCTTCCCTGCAGAAGCATGGACCTGTTCCTTTATGAATCGGTGTTTGCAGTTGAATACGGAGAGTTATTGCTGTTTAGAATGCTAGTACGTCTAAGTGTCTAAGTGTAAATGAGAGTAATTGGTAGGCACTAAAGAAATTTATATATTTCTCTAGCAGATCTCTACTATACGCTTTAACAAGTTTCCATTAAAAAAAACAAAAAAAAACCCATCAAACACAAAAATGAAGGGGTCAAAAAAAAAATAAAGAAAGTCAATCACAACACAATTAACAAATAAAACAACAGGTTCAATGAAGCTTCTTATGATAACAATCGCAAACAACATACCTGCCTGCCTGCCTGCCTGTTATTAATGGCGTGTTTGTTTTTACTTGTATTGCAGGATGATGTTTTCTGTGGCGGTACCTTAATTAGTAATGAATGGATTTTAACAGCCGCGCATTGCTTCGACCAGGACCCAGGACCTAATAGTGAAATGGGGAAAGATTGGAAAACAACGACGCCATATATGGGTATGAATATAGCATAACCATACATTTCAACAAACTTTCTTATCTAGATTCTAGTTAGCAATATTTGTATTCTACATTCAAATTGATTGAGAGGTAATTTGATTGATTGATTTGTTTGTTTGTTTGTTTGTTGGTTGGTTGGTTGATTGAGATTGCAGGTTTGATTGATTGAGATTGGGTGGTTGATTGAATTATTGAGATTTGTTGGTCTGTTAATTGATTGAGATTAATTTATTAATTAATAAGGATTGGTCACTTGGTTAGTTGGTTGGTTGATCATGATTGACTGATTTATTGATTGTTTTATTGATTAAGATTAGTTAGTTGATTGATTAATCGAATTGGTTGGTTGATTGAGTGATTGATTGATTGATTGAGGTGTTTAGACTGGCTGAATGATTGACGGAGATTTGTTTATTTATTGATTAATCGGTTGGTTGGTTGATTGACTGAGAGATTGTTTAGTTATTGGTTAATTGGTTGTTGTTTGATTGGTTGTTTGATTGATTGATAATATGTAATTTTTAGGTATCTAGTGTGGGGGTGTTTTTTTTTAAATGGTCTTCACATCTACATCCCACTTCAGATCGCCACCAAAATAAAAAGGAACCTTCCATTCAATATCAGAAATCATCTCTGAAAATCTGACGCATGTAAACCTAAAACTGTAGACAGGAGGCTGCTAACAACAAACAAAAACACACACACAAAATCCGATGAAAATAACCTCCTTGCGGAGTAATAATAATGATGGTGATAATAATGATGTTGATATTGACTATGATAATGAGGAAGATGATATAAATGGTTATTAATAGCAGGCATAGGCCTAATACAATCTGTTAGTGAATACTTTTTTTTTTTAAAGGATTGACAGACCGAGAAAAAGATAAAAAATCGTCAAATACTTCCAGAATTATAGACTTGATAACGCACTCACTTTACAACAACAAAGAATCCCCCAATTATGACTATGACGTTGCCTTGGCTAAGATAGAACCGATTAGACTTCATCCACAAGTAAGAACCGTATGTTTGCCCGGTGTGACTGATACAAATCTAGAAGAAGGTATGTTTGTTTGTTGTTGTTCCTTAGATTCTGTACAATCTCACCAACGCGGCGGAAGCGGGGGCGGGGGCCCCAGCGGCCCATTCTACCGGGGGCCTGGTCCCCCCTCACTTTGTGACTTTTCCCAACACCAGTGAACCATTTTACGAACGCTGCAATATTATTATTATTATTATTATTATTATTATTATTATTAATATTAATATTATTAATATTATTAATATTATTAATATTATTAATATTATTAATATTAATAATATTATTAATATTATTAATATTATTATTATTATTATTATTATTATTATTAATATTAATATTATTAATATTAATATTATTAATTATTATTAATTATTATTATTATTATTAGGCCTATTATTATTTTTATTAATAGGCCTATTATTATTATTTGGTGCTTACACCTTGTTCATTTGCGCATTATAAATTGACCTATTATTATTATTATTATTATTATTATTATTAAATGTGATTATGTTACGCTAGTTTTAAGGTTTACTGTAAGCCAATCAGTTACACTTACTATACATCTTCGTGGTTAGCATAAAGAGAACTAGAACGTCGCTCCATTAAGAGTATCTACACCTCCCCCCATATGCCTAAATACAGAATTCACGAATGCAGGCGATATTTTCTTCATGCTCGAGGGTGGGTTTCAAGAAAACTTTACAGACACACGTATACAGACGTCAATCAACATTGGTTGCTCAACTCAAAAAGGGAACTTGTAATGTTCGTTAGAAAATGAAAAAAAAAAATCTATATTTTATAATATTTTTTTTTTTCATTTTCTAACGAACATTACAAGTTCCCTTTTTGAGTTGAGCAACCAATGTTGATTGACGTCTGTATACGTGTGTCTGTAAAGTTTTCTTGAAACCCACCCTCGAGCATGAAGAAAATATCGCCTGCATTCGTGAATTCTGTATTTAGGCATATGGGGGGAGGTGTAGATACTCTTAATGGAGCGACGTTCTAGTTCTCTTTATGCTAACCACGAAGATGTATAGTAAGTGTAACTGATTGGCTTACAGCAAACCTTAAAACTAGCGTAACATAATCACATTTAAACTCCATCTAATTTAACGAAAACAATAAGATACTTAATTAGGCCATTTTCTAAATTTCTCTGAAGGTTGACTACATAATTTACAGTACACTTAATGTGTTATAGGTTGTAAAAACTGTATTGAGTAAAAGAAAAAAATCTTTCGAATACAAAATCTTTCGCTTGACATTAGGAATTAATCATTTGTGAAACAAAATGATAGGCTATGTCAAGTGTTATATTGAACAGTGGCAGATTCAATGGGGAACCCAGTCAGCAAGGGACCAAGGGCTAGATGTGTATAAGAGGGGGGTGTTAATTGTTAATTTTTTTTTTTTAATGGAGATATAAGAAAAATTTTATATTCAAATTTTAAGTCTAAGAATGTAAATTCCGGCCATCTTGAGGTGCCATAATCACAAATTTCCTTACCCCAACCACGATGAAGTAACCAGTGGCGGATTCAAGGGGACCCAGCAGGCCCGCCCCTACCCCCCTAAATTGTTCAATAAAAATGGAGATATAAAGATAATTATATTAAAATTTTATGTCTGGGAGTGCAATTTCCGGCCATCTAGAGGTGCCATAATCACAAATTTTCGGCCACTAAATTACAACAAATATGAAATCATATTACAGTAGCTTGATGCCTATAAAATAACTTATAAAATTCACGAAACTTCGTAAAATATCCGTAGCTTAATATTCCAAAAATTGATTGCCTAGACAGTGAAAGCTTATCAAGAGGCTTCCAAACTTTGCTTTGCAAACGCACCACAAAGATCGGTACAAAAAGGCAAAATCGATCACAAAGACAAAAAAGAAGAAACTTTTTCTTTTTTCCCACTTTCATTATCTTCAGCTGCCTTGTTTCCTTTTTTAAACTACAACACCTCAAGAATAGCATCTTAAATACCGTAAATGCTGGAATAAGCACCGCAACAAACCTGATTTTTTTTTCTTTTTTGCTAAGCGTCACTCTCGAAAGAGTATATTATTGCACTCTGTCAGAGAAATGCTCGGTTGTCTGTGAATGAGCTGCTCTCGGCGAAAAGTCTGTCAACAGAACAGGTCAAAGTCAGTCGAAAACAATATAATGATTTTACAATTTCAAAACTTGGCGAATTGGCTGTCGGCGAAATGTCTTCTCGGCGAAATATCCTGCGGGAAAAAACACGTGCCGGTGAAATGTCAGTCAACGAATTTGCATTCGAAAACTTCCCGTCACGAAAGGGGTACCCACCCCGCAGCAACACTTAAGCATGTGAACCCAATGACCAGTGATAACAAAGCGCTTCATAACCTAAAAGAATGGAGCTTCATATATATTCAGTAATATACAAGTACAAGTTAACCGAGGATGTTGCATGATTGGAACTATCTCCCGACGCGAAGTGTAGGGAGCTAGTGTCAATCTTCCAACAACGAGGGAAGTCGAATTCGCTGATTTACCAAAATAAAATCATTTTTGTATTTGTTTTACTATATCTCAATAAATACTAAAGAGCATACCATCCGTCTACATTAGCCATTTTCATCTGAGGTTAGGTTAGAATTATGCAGTCTGCATTCAGTTCACGTAGGCAGCCGTGCGGTAGTCGATGTTGGTTAGTACCAGCCCCGCCAAGAGGGGAAACTGTAACAGGAGAAAAAGGTTGATGTGGTCCCCAGTTATGAGTGCGAAGCGCGAGCAGATTGTACCGGAGGCGCAAACAATTGTTTTTGGTGGTTGGGGTGGGGGGGGGGGGGTGGGGCCCTGTCAATAATAGGAGCCCATTATTAGGGAACCCATGCCACTATTGAATGCCCATGATAGTAATTTTATTTTTGAAAAAATATTGAAAAAATAATGCTATCTGCAATTTCTGTGGTTCCCCTGGTAAGCTTGGACCCCGGGATCTTGAAACCCCCCCCCCATTCCACCTTTCGGTGGCACTGGTTAGTACATTTTCCCCACGTACGCTTAGACTTGGCACGGCGTGTGCAGAGAAGAAGTATACCACCGCACTCCTTACCGGGTGGAATTGTTTAATTCATTTATGTTGTTATTACCGAATATATAGGCTATTTGAGGTGTAGTAACAACAAATAACTAATGATACAGAAAGCGATGCAATGACGGGCGCAAAATGGATCATTTTCAGTGACGATTTGCTAGCTGCCACCTAAAAATAGCGTCGTGTCGTCAAGCGCTTACACACAGAGCGAAGATAGATTTGTTGTTCGATCGTCGTAAGACGCACCGTCGTGATAAATATATTAAATATGAAATGGTCAGTTATTATGTCCAGTTCTCGGTGTTCTCGGGGAAGCCAACAAAATAATACTTTCCCATACACACTTATGTCAGCACACTTTGTCTCTCCTCATCTGTGGACCATATATTTGGAGGCAATTTTGTTATTGAGGTATAGTAATACATTACGGAAACAACAATATTATATTAAATCGCATATGAAATACTGGTAAGGATTTGATGCACTAAATACTTGAATTTCTTCTAATTTAAGAGTATTCATTAGAAGGGAAGCTCAACAAAATTGAATATGTCACAGTGACAGGCTGGGGAAGATTGGGGTTTAAAAAGGAGAAGGCAACTAAGCTTCAGCAATTAGACCTCCCACTTGGAATATATGACAAATGTAGAGAATCGTTAGACGGAGCAGGAGATGAATTTACCCATCGAATGTTCTGTGCTGGAGGAGAGGCGGGCAAGGATTCATGCTCAGGAGATTCAGGAGGACCAGTTGTCCAAAAAAGAACAAACAATGGTGAAGAAAGGTACGAAGTTGTAGGAATAGTTAGTTGGGGACAAGCAGATTGTGGTCAGGAGGGCGAATATGGGTTTTATACACACGTACCAAGGTTACTTGATTGGATTAAAAAAAAGACTGGACTGCAATAAACCAATACGCATTGCATGTTTAGGCCTACGTACCTAATTATATTTCATTTAGAAAGACCTTGTAAAAGTTACAAGAACAGGACCATACAGGTGATTGAACCACACAAATGATTGAACCATATTATTATAGTACTGTGCTGCATTATCATGCAGTATGCCTACCGTATTTGAAACGGAGAATAGAAGCAAACCGGATCTACATTAAAGTTAGTGTAGTGATTAGTAATTAGGCTAAAACTAAAGCGAAAATACGGCGAATATATTTCACTTATATGTCTATTTTGACCGATAGAAAATCCTGATTCGCATACAGAATACTTGACTTACCATAAACCTCCATACATAAAGCATAAGGGAACTCTTTCAATAATAATTATTTATAAATATGGAAAATGTGTCTTAAAATATTATGATCGTTGTTTTCATGGCTTTTACAAATATGGCCTTTCATGCGTGTTTGACGTTTGTGAAAACTGGAATACATCCGTACTGCGAATATGGTAAATGGCAATTTAGGCCAAATAAAAAAAAAGGACTGGTTTCTCAGGACCTAGCGCATCTTGGTAAAAGTGAAAGTAGTAGCTGTTTCCCATTGCCATCTCGGAGTAAAAAAAAAAGTGTCCTCACTCTCCATATTTCAGAATATTATGACGAGAAACTACCTTTTTGTTTTACTTGGCCTTATATAACTTCATGGAACAACTGATCAGCAAAGATGTATCATTAGGAAATTACTGATTTCATATTGGATGTATTTTTTCCATTGAAGTATATAGTAACCTTTATATGGCTATAATAGTCTGCATATCTAATTTGGTTATTCACCCCAAAATTATCAAAATCATTATTGAATTATTTCATGTAGTTTAAATAAAAGAGGAAATTGTGCATATTCTCGATCTTATGTGTCTCTTGTTACCGTACTATATAAACCTTTTTACATTCAAAGAGTGAGCACAAGTCTGAAATATCTGTTTATGACTATATTCACATCCGTGCCAAGACTTTTTTATACTTTGTTTCGCGAACTTATTTTTTTAAAGATCGTTAGAGGAGGGGGAAAAATAAATAGGCCTTATTGTTTTCTTATTAGCCAAGAATTTTTTATACTTTGTTTCGCGAGCTTATTTTTTTAAAGATCGTTAGAGGAGGGGGGGGGGGGAGAGAAATAAATAGGCCTTGGAATTTTGTTTTCTTGTTTCGCCAAAAACATCCAGGCAGAGGAGAAAATAAAAATAAAATTTTATTGGTGAATGTAAACAGTAACAATGGGATGGTTAAATGCTTTAAATTTATTTAGGAAGAAATATACATGTCTTGTTTTTGGAGATTTCAAGACAGCAGTGGGCATAACAAAAATAGAGAAAAATGGAAAATATTAGTGTTTACCATGGCAAGCAGCAAACCTAATTTGAATAGATATGTATATGTGTATGCTATATATGTATGTATGTATATATATACAGTATATAATTTTATATGTATAGTATGTGTGGGTGTGTGTGTGTGAACCTGTAACTGATAAGACTACTCTAGTGTTGTCAAAAAGTTGGTCCACTCTTGCTGTTGGAACTTAAATTTACATTTTAGGTTTTGCTTATAAATTCTCTATCTCAATCAAGATTCGGACAAGCTGCCATCGTATTCCAGACAAACCATATTGCATTATAACACATTAAAACAGGCAGACATTTTATATTCCACAGACAAGCATAAGCAAGACAATTTACTTTGGTCTTTAAATACAAACAAAAAATGTATTCAGAAAAGCAGTATCGATTTCATTTATTTCATAACAAAAGTGGCAACATTCTCTTTTATGAAAATTATATCCAAGTACAGGTGTTTGTTAAGCACGTAGAATTATGAACTGAACAACATAATTATCTTTACTATACAGTGTCTAATTTAGGTTTTTTAATTTGTTTTTTTAATAAAATTATTAAATAATATGAATAGAGTACTGTGCTTGAAAATGAATTATTTGATACCTCTTAGGTCCAAAAATTAATCAAGTAACTTCTCAGAACCAGTAAAAATAAAAGATGGGTCTTGCACCTCATCTGAGGGATAAAGAACGGCAAAATGAGCACACTTTTTGGCCCTTTTATTTTATCTGTTTAACCAACCAATTTGATTAGTTTATGAATGGCATTTTCTTTTTTACTATTTAAAGTATCTTTCAAGAATATGTCAATTAGCACCATCTAAGATACAATAGTGTTTTAAATGGTTTTTAAAATTAAACAATGGGGATGGAGCTATTTTTCACCGCTAGGGGTGCTACAAGCCCTCCCACCACTCTTGTGCCGCTAATTCTCAGAATTGCATAAGTGTCTACAGAAAGAAGTAAGTAATCACTACTTTTACGTTAATTTGGATCTTACACATTGATTTTCAAATTACTGAAAATCTTTATAATAAACATCTTTTCTATCAAATTGTATCCACATTTAACATACTGTACACAATAGAATGCATTTTCCGTAGCTTTAAATAATTAATATTACATGGTTTAACATCGAAATTGCATTTTGATAAATCTAGGTTTTCTGTACCAAAAATATCAATTTTAAATAGAAAACTATCAAACTTTGGTTAGAATAAAAAACATTAAACAGTAAATTTTATCCAGTAATGCAATAATAATAATATTCCCTACTATTCTCATTCATCATTATTACACTATAAAACAATAACATACAGTACACAGTGTAAATCTGAGTAATATTTGCACAGAAAACATTTTGAAGGTGGGTACAATCCATATACTCTTTACATATCCTTAACATTCTCAATTTTATCGTTTTTCTTCATATACTTAATCCCATTACATGGCAATGGGGATGAGATTGTTGGGAATAGCCAAACAAGGTACCAGCGTTTTCCAAAGACTTGAATAAAATTTTGCTTCCAGCCAACATCGTAATCTTTTATTCCATGTCGCCACTCATAAGTGACCTGCCCTCGGTATATTAGCCAAGTGTGAAAAACCAACAAGGTAAAGAACATCAAACATGATAATATACATGTACCACACTGAAATGATATGAAGAACGACATTGATTCTGTTACACCAAATATCCAGCCCAAGATAGGGGCAATCATCGCTAGGCCGGTCTTCAAGCTAAACCCACCAAGAAGGTTCAGGGCATAGTCAATATTCATAAAATTAGCGTACAACGACCCAACAGCTAGGTAGAAAACGGTCATCATGTAATAACGATGGTTACGTATTCCGACACACTTGCCGATGAAGATACAATGATGTTCCCGTTTCAAGACGCATTTCTCGCACATAAAACAGTGCACCGCTCTCGGTGGCGAGTTCTGCATACAGGTGGGGCAGTACCTCCATTCGGGCTGGAGTACGGCAGGTAGGATCTCAGCTCCAGTGGAAGAGTCCACAATGATTGCTAGGATCATGTTTCCGAGTGTGTTGAACAACAGGTAGAATCCGAAACAAACATGAAGATACATTGCAAGACTTGGAGTAGGGTAAACCTGAGGAAGAATGATAAACAATTCAAAATAAACCTCAACAAAAAGCTCTGTCATCACAAATAATACTGCAAGGCGGTCAGTTTTTCGACGAGGGAATATATTTTTCCACTTTCTTTTCTCCATTTTCGGAAATATTTGAATTAAAGTCGTTTTTGCTCAGAGAAAATGACGAAGCACCTATTCTTAAATTCTGCTTTGACATCTGACCTTTTTCATTATTTGAAATTGGTTGTTCGTATATTAATATCTCGCCAAGCAAATGCTAAAATGTGAGGGCAGCAGTCAAGAACAAGGAAAATACTGTATCATCATCGTGTCGCTCAACCACTAGGCCTAAAGGCCTGTTTATACTTCAACGAACGATAACGATAAAAAAAAAAAAAAAAACTTAGCTAAAAAGCAATTGTTCATATAGAAAATAAAAGAAATAAGAGAAGTTTTTACACTAGAACGATTCGATAACGATTTATCAGTTATGCGATAACAACATATTTTGACAAATCAAATCAGAGGACGTCATAATCATGGAAAAACATTAAAATCGTCGTAGTACCAACGATTTTATCGTTTGTCCATGATTATGACGTCATCTGATTTGATTTGTTAAATCAATTTATTATTGCATACACGATAAATCGTTATAAAATCGTCCTAGTCTATATGAACAATCGCTTTTTAGCATTTTTATCGTTTTCGTTATCGTTGAAGTGTAAACAGGCCTTAAATTATTATTTTTTTTTAATGGAAATGTAATTTCCAGGTTCATAACAAAGATGGAATACATAGGCCAGCTAATATATAAAATATCTACCAAAGAAAACCATATCCCGCTGCGTATATGTTAATGACAAAATAAATCAAATGAAAATAAGTAGGGCCGCCTAGGCATAAATTATAGAGGCACAAAGCACAGGCCTATAGTCCCGCTATTCGTCGCTGCATCAAAAAGAGTCAACTGATCAATAGATTAACATTATTTTTAATAGGCCTAATGAATAAGAAGTATCCGCACTAATACTAATTCATATTTTGCGAGTGAAACCAAGTAATTTTAACTGGTAAAGTTAATATTCGTTGGGTGAAGCACAGCTATGCTCGAAGTTGTTTTAAATTTTTTTAAAAATGCAGTGCTGCATTACCGGTAATGCCAATTTATCTCTCCAGGCCAGTTATGAGAGTAAAAATAGACTTGTGAGTAGTATAATAATAACAATAATATTAATAATAATAATAATAATAATAATAATAATAATATTAATGATAATGATGAGGATAATGATAATAACAATAATAACAATAACAATAGGTGTCTGTACCCCTTCCCCATGAGGCGGATCTTTTTATAAAGAGCTCAATATGTATGTATATGTATATGTATGTATGCATGTATGTATATAGTCTCTACAACAATGCTGTGGGAAACAATGGCTGGATCTCAGTAGAGATACAAAAATGATAAGCAACAGCTAAAAAGTAAACGTAAGTAAACAGCCAGAAATAGAACCAGAGTTTTCTGACAACACTAGTCCTTCCTCAGTGGCGAGTGATATATATATATATAGTTTTAATTCACGTAGAAATGGTAGGGACTTTTTAATGTCCTCTAATCTAACGTGGCAATAGTTGTTGCATTTCTAGCTGGTACATTCCTTGGAGTCCAATTTTCATTTGTAGAGGTCTGCAGCCAACTGCATATGGCCGGCTTTTATCAAAATAGTCATTCAACAATCCACTGTACCATTGACGCTATATTATTCCTAGCCTTGGATTGGAGGTGAGGTGGGGGGGGGGGGTAATAAAGTTCTCGTGAATTATAATTTGATGACGTCAGCCGCACAGACCAACACGGACGCACATGCATATATATTTTACAGCATAGGAACCAATGATGATGATGATGTTAATGATGATGATGATTATGATGATGATGAGGATGATGAGAATGATAATATGAAGATAACGATAATAAATAAACCACCTAAAATACATGACTATTTCGTTTTAATAATAATTTAAAAAAAACCAACAACTCAGTCATAATTTATTAAATATACTACTGATTATACCTACTTAGGCTTATGTACATCGGCGTTCCAAATAGGAGGCGAAGAAGATCATTATTCAAAAGTGTGCATTATCATATCATTACCAAGAAAGAATTTGTAATTTGATAACTTTCAAAATATGAATCAGATTGTCAGTATATTATGATTAAGCTAACATATTATAAAAGCAGCATTTAACTAGGCCTGCATCTAATACTGTATGAACTTCCAAAATCTCTTGCAGGCCTATTAATAATGCAAGTGCGTTTTTTGAGTATGTTTAGTGTTATAACGCTTATTTAACACCAAAATAACTCCAAAATATAGGTCTAAGCATACGAATGTTAAAAACTAAAATTTGATACTGTACTTTCTAAACTAAAATAATGCTACAATAAGAAGTACATACTGTTCTAAAGTAGGCCTACATTGGCCTACATTGCATAGATAGTAAGAAAAATGTGGCAGTTCTAATCTACATGTAAATCACTGTAGTCAATATCCAATTCTTAGTAAAATGTAAAAATCCTGAACCCTTTATCTTGTGATTTGCTTTGATACAGTGCGGTAGTTAAATTTTAAAATTTTGTGGTAAAACGGGGAACGTGCCCTCGTGTCCCCCCAACCCCACCCTTACTGGATCCGCTCCTGACGTGGAAATAGAATTTTAAAGGTCGAGGCCCGATATTTATTAGAAGCCATTTGTTACATAACTAAAATCCTCAGCAACAGGCCATTGATCCGTTAGTCTTTCATTATTTTCATTGGGATCTTTTAAATCGCTTGAATCATCGCAGCAGCTGCCTTCTGAATGCTTGTCCTGGTCAATGGCGTCATTGGAGTCGCTAATACATTCGCTCGTTGCTAAAGCTGAAGATGAATGAGGTAACATCAATACATCGTTTACAGCTGTGTCTTGCAAACTTTGGTTTAGCCGTCTGGGTAACTCATCAAAAATTTCAGTTTCAGTTTGTGGCGGACTCGGGGCTTCCTGTTTAAGATATTTCCGAAATATTAAAATGCGGGCTATGTTGTTGATTAATTAATATTTTAAAATATTTTTATATAGGCCTATTATTTTATTTATTTATTCAGATTCGGTAACAATATAAAGTAGAAAAATATAGTAAATGTCGTCAATGAGACTTAATTAGGTGAAGTTCCATCTGTACAAAGTCCAGGTCTCCCTAAACATGAAAAGTACACGTACGGGTGAAAAAACATCAAATGCGACAATGACAGCAACAAGACTAAGAGGAACTATTGAAAACATCAATAAACAGTGTTTGTCCAGTAAAGAATTTTAAAATTTTAAAATTAAGAGGTGAAATACATACGGTACAGTTTAGAATTGTGAATATTTATAGCTGATAGGATTATTATTAGTCGTTTCTCAGAAGCTGACGCAGGAAACGTAAACCACTGTTTTTAATAACTTGCATTTCTAATTATGAAATGGTATCAGAGATACCATACCATGGAGATACCAAGTATGCCTATAATAGGCTACTTACTAAATGCATGAATCTCCATTCTATCTTGGGATTGCCGTGTAGTTTAGATCGTTTATAGAATATAACTGTGATCAAGATGAACATGAAACAGAGTCCAATAACACACAATATGATGATTAATACGGTCGCAGTGTGAATCTTCTTGTAACTAGATTCATCATCCAAACTCGCAACAGTATCTGAAAGAGGTAAAACAGATTGTGGAGAACAGTTTGATACAATAATTATAGAGATGACTTGCGTAAACTATTTAAATTCTATGTCATTGATGTCACCAATTTTATTGTACAGGCACATTTTTACACACATAGGCCGACAGTAGGCATACAGCAGACCTATCAGCCCCACACTCCTCACATACCACGCCACACGCACACCAGACCAGTGGTGGATTTAGGAGTATACGTAGCGATCGTGGCGCATTTGCGAGAGGCCAAATCATTAGTGTGTGCACGCTTAAGCTTGGTTTCCATACAATCGCTACATGCTATCACCGACCACGTTTGGTGATGCTGATTGGTCGGTCGAATTGGGGAGCCTTTTCGATTGCGTCAGGGACTGCTACGCTGTACAACGACTGCGAAAACATTTAGCGACAGAGTAGTAATTTTAAGGAAACCATCCACAGTTAAAGCATAAACCAATCAATTAGTCAATTAGGATCCCACTGGGAATATAGGACTGCCGTAAGGTCTTTAGTGACATCATGAACTGTCTTTTAAAAATCATTTATTAATTTTCTGCATATATAGTTGAAATATTTGTACATGAATTTACTCAAGTAAATATGAATGAATGAATAAATTAATCAATGATCATACTATGAGCCTGGTTAGTAATCGCATAGTAGTCCTACCTTCTTCGTATTCATCATATTGATTTGTTTGACTACAGACAGATCTAGCAACGAACTCCTCTGTACCAATGAACTCTCTGCCATCGGGCGATACGTTCACCGCTGCGATGCCAATTTTAAGTCGGTAAACCTGGCCAGTTGTGCATCTTGCGTTTAAGTCAAACCAAGTTGAGGTGACAGACAGTTTTGAACTCCATGATGTGTCGGTAAATTTGTAGCGGACATAGTACTTACTGATTGGTCCATTCCGTTGGGTTGGGGGCAGCCATGTAACGTGGATAGATGTCAAATTAGTGAAAGTTGTATGTATTTTGAGGTTTTTCGGTGATCCAGGATCTGTAATGCGATTTAATTTAATCAGTTGGATAAATACACATAATAAATCGATACCATACATCGTGTACCAAAAAATGTATGTAGTACAGGTACCGTATTCGCTTTAAGTCTATAAATATTATGAAGCAATGCTACTCGTTATACAGACCCATAAATAGGCCTACATCGATTTTCATTTTCACTGCCTTTTATTTTATCGCAGTATTTTAACATAAAATAATATTATTATATTATAACACTTCTTACACGTCATATCCGTGGTTGTTAATATTTTTGTTGACCACGGGCTCCATCCTGCTGACTGGTTCTCGTAGGTTACAAATTTTGACGCAACTTGAAGTTCATACTCTGTAAATGCATCCACATTATGTAACTCGAACTTCCTTCTCTGTAGATCTCGTATCTAAAAATAGAATTTGAAGAATGAACGAATAAATGAATGCATCCACATTATGTAACTCGAACTTCCTTCTCTGTAGATGTCGTATCTAAAAATAGAATTTGAAGAATGAACGAATAAATGATATTTAGCTTTTATATTGCCAGAATCTCGTCCATAAACGTACAAGCACAAAAACACACTTAACAATAAGGAAAGCACAAATATTTCGACAGCATTCAGTTTGATGGCATAGAGAGGAATTGTTTGAATTTAAAAAAATGAAAGAATCTATTGAAGTCCTTCGTGCCCAGGTGTCAAAACTCAATAGGAACACCTAATACAACCTGACGTCTACGACGATCTCCTGAGATGTGACTGCCCCTCTCTTCACAAAATGGTCACCTTGTGTAGATTAATCAGTTCATTGACCGAAGCTGTCGTGATGACACTTTTCTACTACTATTCAGTGGCGGATTCAGGATTTAGAAATAGAGGATGACTTTCACAGATGAAGAGTTTTCTAGTCAACCTCAGCGCCACGGGTAGGGGCTGAGGTAAGGAAAGGCATGATAATAGCACCAGATGGCCGAAAATGGCACTCTCAGACATAAAATTTAATACTATTTTACTTTTTTTCTCCCTTTTTTAAAAATAATTTTGTAAAATTTAGGGGGCTCTGGCCGGCTGCCACCCTTCCCCACCCCCATGAATCCGCCACTGCTATCATTAATTTACTACCGTAGTAAACAGTCTTACAGACAAAATTGTAATCTTAATCTAATCATATGTCATAATCAAAATTATAATAATCATACCGTAATTATAGTCCTAATTGTAATAATAGGCCTAATCATAAATGATGATGGTAATAATTGTAACGAAAGTGTTTTACTTTTACCTCTGTCCAATAAACGACTGTGGGGTCTCTGTACCGAAGTTTGTAGATCAACAGGTCTTCGTAGAGGGCAACTCCTTTCGACTTGCGCCAAGAAATGTCCATATAATCATGATATTTACGGTTCACATGTAAACCAGAAGGAGGTAGTGGTATTGCTGGGAACAAAACGTGAAGAAAAAGAGTTTGGTTCAGTCATATCATACAAAGAATATGTCTATGCGCGAGCCTTTGTGGAAGGGATTGGAGGAGCACTGGGAGGGGTTGTTTGTGAAAAAGATGCTGATACGACGTTGGGATTGGAAAAGATGCGTATCTTCTATATACAATCCTTGGATTATATATTTGTCATAGACCATCGAGTTTTTGTGACTGGTGGTATGACACTTACTTTCAGAGATAATTCAATCTCACCCTTGGCCATTTTTGCAAACAATTAATAAGAAACGTTTTCGATGATTTTTCATCATTGAATCCTGCTTTTTTCTTTAGCACTGTTTCTACATTTATTTCTATGCATATACCACAGTGCTACCCAGCAAAATGATTCAAATGTTAGTTTCATTAGATATGGTAAAATAGGTCTATATTGAGTACTAAATTTCCTTTATGAACACTCACAAAGAAAAGCTGTTTACCTTGTTGCTTAGGATAATATTCAATTGATGAATAAATGCTTGAGCCAAAGCGGTTGGTTGCATTAAGAGTGATGCGTTGTTTACTAATACTACCATAGTCTTTATTGCGGAATTTCACCAGCAGAGTCCTTCCGTCAACAAAAATGTTGCTTTTTTTAATTACTGTCGGTGGTTGAAGCCTTAAGAAATCAATTAAAATATTCCCATTATGACATTTAAAAAAAAAAAACCCTCTACATATATAGTAACCTAGATTTTATCATATTAGCGTGATAGTCAGGCAGTAGGCCACCAGAAGAAGATTGAAGCTAAAAGAGGGTGGTATGAATTATGTTCCATTATTTCTAACTTGGCAACATGTTTTCTTTTATGACTACTATTTTTATTTATGTTCGTCTATATTTCTTTCAGTCTCTTCCACACGAGAGCCAAGACATTTGTGAAAATGTCCTGTTTGCCCTCCATAATAGTCACTATATTTACTACGGTAATTAGTGTGCAATGATTACGATGACGACACTACTACTGCTGCTGCTGCTGCTACTGCTACTACTGCTACCACTACTACTACTACTACTACTACTACTACTACTACTACTACTACTGCTACCACTACTACTACTACTACTACTACTACTACCTAGTAATAATAGTTAATAAATAATTGATTATGAAGATAATAATAAATATAGTAATAATAATAAATAATAACAATAATAATAATAATAATAATAATAAATAATAATAATAATAATAATAATAATAATAATAATAATAATAATAATAATAATAATAATAATAATAATAATAATAATAATAATAGTATACAATAATGATATATAGATTCACCGGCGATAGACAGCAATTTATTATAATAGTGAACTTACAGTACTTTCTGAGTGACTTGATATTCATTATCTTGACCATTAGGACCTAACTCCCAAGAACACTCGTATTTTTGAATTGTTGATGACAAGCAGCCTAAGGCATGGATTTCAGGTACTGAAAATGATTAAAGATGTTATGTGTAAATGTACGTAGAATATTGTTTACAAATTGAATGATTTATAATAACATTAACAATATAATAACCTAGTCAATATCAATTTGATATATTATATACATATATATATATATTATATATATATATATAAGTATATATACGGCTATATACTACCATAGGGGGAAACGATAACAATGGAAAGGGTTAGAAATAATATGTGTCTATTATACTTTACATGAACATGTATTTGATGGAAATAGCAATATAAATAGATATAAAAATGATCATGATGATGATGATAATAATAATAATAATAATAATAATAATATTAAAAATATGTATAACGTCTATCATAGCCCATTCATTATCATAGGCATGATACAATGTGTCTATTGTACTTTACATGAGCATGTATTTGATGGAAATAACAATATCAATAAATATAAAAATGATGATAATGATGATGATAATAACGAAAATATTATTATTATTAATAATAATAATAATAATAATAATAATAATAATAATAATAATAATAATAATAATAATAATAATAATAATATGTATAACGTCTATCATTGCCCATTATCATAGGCATGATCCAATGTGTCTATTATACTTTACATGAACACAATCCATGCAGGTCAATTAACGTGTCCCAACAGTGTATTCAAAAGAAGCTACTCCAAGAAGTAATCAACCCTAAAATATTAAACATCAGTTCGAATAAGGGGATACCTCCCTGCTTTCATTACCTACTTACCATTAAACTGGGCATTAGATAAAATGACAGGAAAGACCAGAAACAGCAGCCACACTTTTGTGAACATCGTAGTCTGATAAAACGTTATTTTGAGCTATAACTTCACCTCTGCAGATATAACATGACGATGAGATGAAAATGGACATCGAAGACGCAATCGATGACTCCGCTTCGAGCTGTACACATCTTAATATACAAACTAGAATCCCCATTCAAAAGATAATCAAGTATGAAATACAATGATATCCGTGTCCATTTAACAATGACAAACATATCGATCGACACGGTTCAGTGAACACGCTTCGCTATTGATTACCCATAATTATATATAAGTAATAATTCTTAATTCCGGTATTTGAAACGGTGGTACTACACCATCTAAACGAAGTACGTAACATGCGCAAATGAAGTATAAATATACCTTACGCGTGACAATGAATCAATTTTTTTTTGGATTTGTAGTTGGGCATTTCGTACAAGTGGAGGTTCGCGCTCGTATATAATTGTGCTTTGGTGGTTTGCCCTCATA